CCGTGATCATCTATAGGAATCACATTCTCGCAAAGATACAATACAAAGATTTCTTTGGAATACGCAAAAGTTCTTCCTCATTTGGAACTTGGGCGAATCAAGTCTCTGTAATTCGATGGCAAGAACACGTTCCATACAGTGTCTGATTTGGCTGCGAAGAGAAACATTTTGGACACTACACCTAGAGACTTGTGATTTTCGGAGTGGTAAAGCATAGTATAGCTGCAATGCAGCTCTCATTCAACGCTGGTTTTTCCATTACAAGAGGAAGACGATGAGAAGGAAAGAAGGTAAGAGTGAAAGAGAGACGTGTCAGGAGGCAGGAGCGGGATTATATTATTTATAGGAGCCACCGCATCAGTGCAGTTGCTGTGCACGCGCCCACCCTATTTCTAAACTACTATATCTTTCAAAAATTACATTTTAATATATATATATATATATATATATATATATATATATATATATATCATATTTTAAATTTTAAAATACCTTTAAACCAAAAAATGTAAATTTTAATAATTCTCACCTACTATTATATAGTATGTGTACAGGTTACAAATATTTATTTGGAAATCACCATACAAACAATTTTGAGTTGAAGTAGATTAAAAGCTAGAATTTTGCAGATATCAGACTAGTAACATACAATAGCATATCGTGCAGGCGGTCCATTATTTTATATTAAAAAAATTTAAAAAAATTAATTATATATTGACATTTTAATTAAAAAACGTCACCGCTTCTCACATTACGCGTCCAAACTTTAAACTTTGGAAGCGTATTCTTCGATTTTTTTGATTTTTTTGTACTGGTGAGAATTTCTAAAAATCTTAATTCTATCCTATCATATCATATATCAATTGTGCACACGATTCCACAGGATATAACGAAAATATTAACATATGTTATTGTGAAAATATTAACATATTATATTATATATTAGATAATAATAGATACATATTTTTTTTATGTGGGGATAATGTACGATCTGTAATGTCGTATACAAAGATGTTTTCAATAATGTGTTAATACAATTGCAATGTTAATCGTTTTTTAATAATTAATTCATATACTATTATACTCTTTTTTTTTCACTACTGTTAATCTTTGTTCTATATCATATGTTCGTGCATCGCACGGGTACAACTACTAGTATATATATAAGCCAAACAGATCAAGCTCTATTCTCCCGCCCAAAATTTTAGAATATAATTTGGAATTATTTTTTTGACTCACAATTTATTGCATGAGTGCCCAAGATTTTAGAATATCTTACCAAAAAATATTTACATCTTTTCCATTTTTCAATGCTAGTTATTACGGAGTACTGTTTAACTAATAAAGGTATGCAATATTTACCTATGCACAAGCAAACATGCTAAAATATAATTATTACATATTTTTAAAACTGAATTTTCGTGAGATGCTAGCTATAAATACTATATGTTTCATAGTGAAACCCCACATTTACACTGAAACACAAGAGAAAGATCAACAAACAGGAGGTAATTTTTTTGCCTTTCTATTATTTTAAATGAGCTCTATCTCACGAAACTTCATCCTTTTTAACATTTATACAATGATACTCATTTGTTTTGAGAAAACTTGAATTGGGAGAGACAAAGCTTGCACAGAAAAAAATGTTAGATCCCCTTTTTAAAGGAATCAACAACATACCAAGAATTATCATATTGACACCTAAAATCAAGATCACAGTATTATAATAGCCAAAAAAAAAAAAAAAAACTCAAACAAGTAAGTATAAGTACATTTTTAGAAGATAACTAATGATAAAACATGTAAATGTAATTTCACATTTGGCATGTGATAAGTTAGTTTATACTAAATTTGAATATTTATGCATTGAGATTTGAATAAATATTTGTATTTCACATTTGTTTTGGAGGAGGGGGAGATTATTTATGTTAATTTCTCTGGTTAGAAAAATATAGATTATTTATTTTTTAAATTTTGTGAGGTTGAGTAGATGAATTTAATTTGTGAATGTTAGGAAAATTAGGGGTGTTTTTAGGAGCCTAGACTAGTAAAATAGGGCTGAATTTTCAATAGAACATAGTCAGTTTTTTTTAGAACAATTTTATTTCTCTGTAAAGTGTAAACATTTGATTATGATGTTCTGCTAAGTTTATTTTCCAACTCAAGAATAATTAAAGTTTTGGTTCTTCAAGAATTGTGAGATCTAATTTGATTTTCTTTTATGCTACGCTATTTATATGTATTCTATTATCTTGATATTACTGCTTTGATTAATTGTACAAAAAGGATTCGTAGTTCAATTTTCAATCCAGTAAATTGCCATTTTGAATTCTTGAATCCGTAATTGTTTAAGTGTTCTAAACCTTAGTGGTAAAATAACATAGTTGATTATAAAAGAGATTTTCAATATCAACTATGCTATGGAGATGTATAATCTAGTCTAAATGGACTGAACTTGCGAGTTTGTTGGCTAGAATTGGTAGTCTTTCTAATTCTTAATACTAGACCTGGCAATTCGTGTATACGGGTCCGTTAACGGGTCGACACGATAACGACACGAACACGATAAGGCTAAACATGGACACGACACGTTAAGGTTAACGGGTTCAAATTTTTAACACGAACACGAACACGATTTGTTAACGGGTTGACACGATAAACACGTTTTGTTTACAGGTTTCAAGTCGTGTCAACACGATTTGACATGAAACCCGTTTAAACTCGTTATCTCTATTAATATATTTAAAAAACTAAAATTTAAAGTTAAGTTCTATAAAAAAATATAAATAAATAAAAACTACCGTTCAATTCATCAAACAAACTAAAAATATTCAATTCATAACATTCATAAAAAGATAAAATAACATTCAAAAATCATAATTAAAGGAGTCTATACAAGTTTTTATAATAAAATTGAACACAATAAAAATTCAAATTTCAAATTGACGAACATCAATTAATTGGTGTAGGATCTTGGCCTAATGTAGTAATTTCATCCTTAGTCATGTTCATAATATCTTTTGTAATCTCAATAATGACAATGGTTCTTACCTAAATGACAATGATTCTTAACGGGTTATAAACATGTTTGGTAAACGCGTGTTAACGGGTTAACACGATAATAGTAAAGGGTTAAACGGGTTCTTAATAGGTTTAACGAGTTAACCCGTTAAGACACGAAACATAATGGGTCCTTAACGGGTCAACCCGTTAATGACCCGGGACACGTTAAGGCTAAACACTAACCCGTTACTTTCGTGTTCGGTTTCGTATCGTGTTAACGGGTCGTGTCCATAATTGTCAGGTCTACTTAATACTGATAGTTAATTAAATCCTAAGAGCTTGCTTAGGGTTGTTAATTATCTAGGGAAGTAATAGAATAGCCTGTTTTGATTACCGATAAAGTAAGGAGAGATAGGTTGTTAGAGCTTGTTAATAACCATAACCAATTTGGTGTAAGATAAAAGGTGTAAACGCGAAAAACTTGAATTGTATATATTCAAAATTCAAAGTATCAATTACAAGTAGTATGTACCAATCTCTGGAACGTTGATGGCGCATTGCAGAGGCCAAAAGGCATCACCAAGAACTCAAAATGGCCATGGTGTGTCCGGAAAGCCCTTTTTTTCAACATCTCCCGGGTGCATGCGAATTTGATGATATCCAAACCGTAAGTCCAATTTTGTAAAGAAGCGTGTCCCATGTAATTCATCTAGAAGTTCGTCGGTCACCGGGATCGGGAACTTGTCTTTTATAGTTTTAGCGTTTAATTCCCTATAGTCAATACAAAATCGTCATGGTCGATCTTGTTTAAGCACCAACAACACCGGGGAAGAGTATGGCGAATCACCAGGCCGAATAATGCCTAGCTCCAACATGGAACGACATTGACGTTCAATTTCATCCTTCTGTGCATGGGGGTAGCGGTAGGGTCGAACGGCCACCGGGTCCGCGCCTGTGACTAATGTAATGCGATGATTGCACTGACGAGTAGGCGGCAGTGCCGTAGGCTCCTGAAAAAGGTCAGAATAGTCGGTCAGAATGTACTCCAAAGCATCATTAATGCTATCTTGGAGCCGTATGGCATTAAGCAAATGGTCGGGGGGGAACAAGTTCCACTTGCCACGTTACGGGCTGGCCGCCATACGTAAATGTCATGGTAAGCACGGTAAAATCCCAAAGAATCGCACCTAACGTGCGTAACCAATTTACGCCTAATACAATTTCAAAGCCTACTAAGGGAATAGCAAATAAATTAACAGGGAAATAATGGTTGTCTTTCTGAAGCGAAACGTCGTTGCAAATGCCAAACCCAGTAATTCGTTCTCCGTTTGCGACCGCTACTTGTAAATACGGGCACCCTCGAATTGGCAAGCCAAATTTATTTGCTGTGTGAGAGTCCACAAAACTGTGTGTGCTGCCAGAGTCAATTAGGACTGTGATTGGAGCATTATTTAAACGTAGGTTCACCCGCATAGTATTCCCACTCCCTGTGCCCGAGATCGCGTGCAAGGAAATCTCCGGATTCTCCACCTCGTGATCGAGAATGTACGCGCCTTCCCCCGGAGGAGGAGCTGTGCCTTCGTCGATCGCCGGAGCTGCGCTGTAGTCGATCACCAACAAAAAGAGGTGGCGGCAGTTGTGCGTTAGAGCTCACGGTTCATCGCAGTGGAAGCAGAGGCCCTGCGATCTTCGGCGCTGGTACTCGTGGCGCAAAACCTCACACACTTTAAGCGCAATACTCACGCACACTAAGTACAAAACTCACGCACATTAATCACCCGCACAACCGCACGAGAAGCTATACCCGCACATGAACTCTTCCCTATATAATAGTTTAAGGACCATGGGTGGTTAACTTGGACCACGAATGGTTAAATTTGAAAGTCGAAGGACCACAGATGGTCAATTTGAAAATTTAGGACTAAACGTGACAAAATCAGTATACTCGGAGGACCTTATATGGTATTAACTCTGAATAAAAGTATAAAACAACCACATTATCACTCAAGAGAACCAATATGAAATAGACACAACATACTTTGAAATGTTAAGTTGAAAGCAGCAGCCTTTACTCTCAGCTGGTTCCTTCATCAAGAACAAATAGTAAATTATTTCATAAAAAGATGGAGACAAGTGCAAGCTAATTAATTTCTACGGTGATTATCAACGTAACTACTGATCATAAACTATAGAATCTGTATAATAATAAAATAACAAGAAAAATAAATATTAATTCCTCTCCTCCAAGTGATCAATTTGGCCTGATCTCAATCCCTAGCACCAGGATGTCCTTCCAAAGCCCTCCCGTCACTTCCTTCAAACTAATGTCTACCCACTCATCTTCTTCTACACCACCTCTAATAAAGATCTCTCCTAGTTCAACTTCCATCCATGTATCATCTCTTATCTTTGGATATTCACAACCACCTGCCTCATAATGCTCACCTGGCCTGAAACATAATTGCCCATACCGCACTCCAAGCTGATCCTTACTAACGATGAAACTTGGAGTCGTCAGTATTCCTCTAGAACACAGATAAACACTCCTGGTTGCACCCTCCTGCTCGCCAATCCTAACTGAAGCATCAACAGGCTGGAGTTCATAACTTGCATCAACAGGCTGTTGTTGAGAGAGGTTTGATATCAATATGAACACAAGATATGCTGCATAGTTCGTGCCCGGAGACAGCATCTTTGTACTGATCTTCAGGCGAATCTCGAGCCAACATGCATTACATAGATCCGCAGCTTCAGAGAACCTGAAAGGAAAAGGAAACAACCAAATACAAAACCAGCACCCTGAGGATCCCTGCTCGAGTTTGCTTAATTGAAGCATGTGCACCATCTCAACTAAAAGCTTAAGCTGATAGTTGGATTGCACATTAATGGCTATATGCTCAACACTATATATGATTTATTTTTCACTTTATTAGCCTATTTTTCCAACAGAAGATAGATAAAAAGTATTCTTTTTCAATCATTGCTACCTTGATAGGTGAATATTAAACTGTGATTTGTCAAAAGAAAACCACCGCCAATATCTGGTATCGTTGCCCCAAGCAATTTCCAGTGACCTTGCAGAAAACATGTAGCTTATCTTTCCACTCCCTTCCTCTAGTGCAAAACTCTGCTTAATCAAAAAAATAAAAAAAAAAACAATAAATTTAATCTGTGAAATGGTTTTTCTGATTGTAGGAGTATATCAGAATCATATGATTTGTACGAATTTGATTTCGAATCATCAGTCTTCAATAAAAACCGTAAGATCGAAACTAATGCATATAAGCTGGAGATCGAATTGAAGTATGAATTACCTTAGTTCCGTCGTCGATAATGGTGTCATGATCGCATAGGTGAAAGTAGAGGTCCTTCTTGGAAGTGAAGGCTAACAAATCACGGGTGTTGGCCGCCCGAGAAACGAGGTCCCGAGGCACGAACCGTTCCCAGACGCCGTCGAAATGTGCCGCGGAATGGAACTTAGATGCCACAAGCGACAAACGACAGGCGTCCTTAGGGGTCGTCAGCGACAGCACGTTGGCTATGCAATTCTCGGGGAGGCCGGATATATCCGCACGGACGTTCTCTGCTGCCATTGCCAGATACTGAGATAGTCGATCGGCGACTGAGTGTTCTGTCTTGTCTGGGTGTTAGAAAATGATTAAAATATATATGTGGCTCAACTTCATCAGCTTGAATACTTCAGACCACCGGTTTTCTCTTCAACATTGCAATGCTTGCACGTGTCCCCACTCAACCATGTCTTCACCGTGAATTGCTCTCCTCAAATGCTTACCGTATATTTTATATGCGCAAATATATACCTAATATTAAAATTAAATATAAAAATCTTAGTTATATTAATTTTTTAAAAATAATAGTGTATATATATATACTTGTATAATTCATATTCATATTAAATTACTAAATATAACTATGGTAAAATTTTAATTAAAACCTAAATGAATTCAAACTTACCATTGAAAGATGTAAGAAAAACTATTGTGTATGCATGTACATGGTAATAATAATGTGGAAAGATAACAAAAGTTATAACAGCAGGGATATCTTTGTTCAAAAAATTATGTAGTACAACTTTTATAGCATAAGGTACAAAAAAAAAATTAACAGCAAAAACGGACATAAACCAAGGGTATAACCTGGATTAAAACTTATTATGTTTTTAGATATATTAATATATATATTTTTCTTTCTAATACTCTTTTGAGAGTTTATATATATATATATATATATATATATATATATATATATATATATATATATATATATATATATATATATAACTCTTGTCTTTTAGTTTATTTTTGGATTTATTTTTTTCTTTTTTTGCACGCCATCTTGATCTAGGGGCTCATTCGTGTTTGTATTTTTGTTTTTTGTTTTTTTTTTTTGGCTGATTTGTCATAATTTTAGGGATATTAAATTTGGTAATTAAAGATATTCTTCATTCATCTTTATATACTGCCTCATTTTCATATTCTTTGTTTGTGTTTTTGCGAAGATTACAGACTCTTTTATTTATTCGTGCTTCATTATTTGTGCTCGGGATTCTCCAGGTTTGTATTTTTCGTTTGTTTTAATATATAAGTATTTTGCAGCTTTTTTTTTTTTTTTTTGTGCATTTGTATTTCGCTGGCTTCAATTCATTCGTCTTGTAGTGTTGTGTATTGTTTTTAAATCTATTCATTGTCTTCATTTTGTTTGTTTGTTGGGATTGTGGGTTTCATATATATATATATATATATATATATATATATATATATATATATATATATATATATATATATATATATATATATATATATATATATATATATATATAAACTATGTCTGTTATTATTTTTTTTTTTGGGTGTGATGGTGTGTTTTGTTTTGGTTTTTTTTTTTTTCGTTTCTTATTCTCATTTAGATATATAGCTAATCTACGGTTTTAGATATATAGCTAATTTCCATCTCTTTCTTTTGTTGGTTTTACATCATGTCTTGCATGTTTTTTTTTTTTTTTTTTTTTTTTTCGGCCTGTGCATTATTGGCTTTAGTAATTGTGCATCTATGTCTTAGAGGGCTTGGCTGTAGACGAAGTTGCCACTCGTCCTCCTGCTCACTCTAATGACAAAGGTTGTGGCAAACGGCTCAAAAGCATTAGGGAGTTAGCCATTGAGAAGTTCAAACGGCGTCAATGACAATGTCAGACATGTGAAGAGTATGGCCATAACAGTCGTACCTGCCCGTTGCGCTAGTTTTTTATTTTTGTTTAATCACTATGTCATTTTGTTTCAGTTTTCAATGCATTTTTACTGTTCTCATTTTGTTTCGATTTTCCTTGCACAATTACTGTTGCACATTTTGTTTCTTTTTATTAAAAGAACAGTTTAAGGTGATGTTTCCTTCCATTAATTGATTTAGGTCCTTCCTTAGCTTACACATTGATGAAACATTCTGGTGCACAACCTGCATGTGACATGTGACCTCCAGGTACTGTGCACCATCGCAAATCACACGGGTGCACAGTATGATTAAAACAATATGATTACATGTATCGTAAAAAATAAAAACCTTATCTCTGAAATTATTATGGTATTCTGGTTTTCAGAAATAAACTAAACGCATTAATACAATCCATGAATCTGCATACTTGCACACTAGTCAAGAACTTTGATGCACAACTACTGAGACTTACATGCAGGAGGAAACCACCCCATTTTTCCAAATACTTGCACTTTCCTAAAATAAACAAGTTGAATATTCATACTGATACAGACTGATCTTCTCAAAAGTAGTAAACCTCAAAAAATTAGTATTCGCATGGTTTTCTACGTAAGTCATGACACTAACAAAGAGTAATAGTAGTCCAAAAAGTTTTTAATTACTACATTCACTTGAATCTCACGTACATAATCAAAACCATCCTCTTCACACATTTGGTCCCATAACCTACATCTCCTGCGAGAATGCTTCAGTATGATGGAATAGGGGTGAGCTTGCCAGGTTTTGTGCATGATGCTCATTACACTCACTAAGAAAAATGTCACTCATGTATTCCATTATGAGGGCTTCTATTATTGATGTATCCCCTTTGCTGAGCCCACACTCCCATTTTGTACAACTTGCTCCTATATATACATGTCTCCATGTGTCTCATCTCATAAACCCCGCTATTGAAATTGGTTTTTGTATCCCTCCATTGCATTTGCATTTTTTCGGCTCCAACTGTGGAACTGTAGTTCCCCTCTCATGCTATTTCAAATCATCTAGAAAAGTACCCATCATGTCCTTCTGTTTACATAACACAACTATAATTAATAATTTAAATCCATCATGCATCTTGGACTATCGCGACGACTCACACAGTCCAATTTATTTTCTTAATGCACGCTACACATGGTAATGCACATTTCACAATTGGTAAATGCACATTGTTTGCGACTACCCTCTACACTTTCAAGTAGTTAGTGCATGCGCTGGAATTCAACACACATTTATACACCTTTTTTCTTCATAATGATCGCTAAATATACTTAGGAGCATTACGTAGTTGAATAATTGCACAATTTTTATCCCTGCACTAGCACATTACTGTTGTTATTGCATGCACTGGTATTCATCATATGCTTGCACACAACATACTATCTATAATGCGTGCCTCTAAACCACATTTATGCACATACACATGCCCTGTATTTAAATGTCATTTACAGAATATTCCAAAATCCTATAATGCCGGATGCTTACCAAATCAACAGGGATCTTCCCATATTTCTTTTCTTTAGTTTGTGCTGACGAATTATCATAGATTTCCATTTCTTCCCTTTCGCATCCACATAAATGACGGAATAGTGGGAGTCGTGTATTATTAGAAAAATAAACTGCATGGCCATATTATCAATAAGGCTTTTAGGAAGTTTACAACCAAAAAAAAAAAAAAAAAACCATATCCTCTCCCATTCACAACCCCAGCCCATATCCTCTCCCATTCACAACCCTCCTCCCAAGCCCAGAATCTGGTATTTTTGTTCATTAAATAGGAAAAAAAAAACCAGCATACTCTGCATTCACAAACACCCTCGTCGTCGCTTCACTACCCTCTACACCGTCATTCATCTGTCATCCTAGACCCACCGCCCCCTCTCAGAAAGTAGAAAGAGCAGCACACAATATTATTATATGCTCTGTGAGATGGTACAGTGCACAATAGTTTCGTTTTTATTACATCAAAAATCAAAATCAATTCCAAGAAAACAAAAAGATACATTGCGAACTCCGTTAACTGCATATTACACACAGAAGTGATGAAAAATAAAAAATAAAACTCTGAACAATGTCTTACAGATTCTAGATTCTAGACGTAGCTTCTAATGATGCCCGCCGTTGACTTCTCTGAGGTGTGGTGTTAGCCATAGCTTCCGGTTGTCTCGTACTCTCCTGTTTCCAAATGCCAGAGGTGCAGGAGATTGTTCTGTCACTACAAGAAAAATGCACATAGACAACGGTTAATAACCGTTGTCGTAGGGGTAAAATTTCTGTTGTTGAAGCCGGTGTTGTTGTAAGTCCCGCGCATAGACAACGGTTTTTAACCGTTGTCTTTTCTAGAAACAACAACGGTTTTTTAACCGTTGTCTATTAAGTGTTGTTGAAGCTGGTGTTGTTGTAAGTCACGCACATAGACAACGGTTTTAAACCGTTGTCTTTTCTCGAAAAGACAACGGTTTTTTAACCGTTGTCTATTAAGTGTTGTTGAAACCGGTGTTGTTAAAAGTCACGCACATAGACAACGGTTTTTAACCGTTGTTTTTTCTATAAACGACAACGGTTTTTTAACCGTTGTCTATTAAGTGTTGTTGAAACGGGTGTTGTTAAAAGTCACGAACATAGACAACGGTTTTAAACTGTTGTCGTTTGTTTCAAAGACAACGGTTTTTGACTCGTTGTCTATTCAATGTTGTTGAAACCGGTGTTGTCTCAACGGTTTTTAACCGTTTTTAACCTGCTTAAATTTTAATCGTATAAAAAATCAATTTATCCATTCACCATAGCCAAGTGTAGTTACATAATTTTGCACAAGCTATGGTTCAAAATACAAAAAAAACTAATTAACAAGTCTAAATACTTCCATGACCAATTCAAATTGAATCATATATCATCCAAGTCATAATACTACAAAAAACAATTCCACAAACCAAATCTAAATGATCACAACATTCTAATGATCAAATCATACCTACTCCCTATTGATGCATTAAAAATCTAAGTCATTCAAAATAAAACTTTAAAAAAAATGCTAAGCAACCTGTCTCTGACAACCAAGCCAAAGCTGATTATATTGTTCAGCTTGCTCACGTTGTTCAACTTGTTGCAAGGCATCGATCTCCTGAGGACGAGTCATCCAAGCATGGGCCTCCCTCATCTATTCGTCTTTGTAAAGAATGGTTTCCTTTGCAATTCTGTTCTGAAGATTGAAGAATATTCAATTTGTCAAGCTGCAAAATTCTAATCAGCAGCTAATGTTGCACAAGTACTTAAATATTTTAAATTATAAAAGTATCAAATGCATTCCATAATGCAGTTTCTCCATGTTACCATACTACAAAGCAGTGAAAGTATTTTCAGAAATTATGGTACATATGAATTGACTTGTTCCTGCAATTCCATAAACTGATGTTCTTTCTCTTGAATATGTTCCTGAAGTTCATGAAGTTGCTTAATATGCTGAGCTCTTTCAGCTTCAGAGTTGTCCCTCTCTCTCCTGGAAATTTATGAACTTCAGT